AGATGGAATAAAGACGATACAATGAAAAAACTTTACAAGAAAAGAAAGACAGAAATGAAAAAACAATTATCTTATTATTTAATATGAAAAGGAGTTATACAGATTATATTAATATAATAGATGAAATGGAGAATATAGAACAAGTACTAATAACCGATAATAAAATTAAGAAATGTTGTTATTATTCATTAGAATTAATTAAGCTAGGAATACAATATATCAAAAATAAAAATGTAAATATTAATTAATATAAATGCCAAAAAAGAAAAACAAAAATAATAAGACAGGTTTAAGTGTTTCATCAACTGATCAAGAAATTGTTAAAGAATCATCAGTTATTGAGGTTGTTTGTCCTACATGCAAAAGAATGTTAGAACTTAAGAATGAATTACAAATACAAAAGAAAGGAAATTGTAAATGTTTGTGTATTCCAACAAGTTTCAAAATTAGTAAAAATGATAAGAAAATGAATATTGATAAAACTAAAGACAGTATCAACTTAGAAACAGATGTTCATAATATAACTTTTAAATGGGGTAGGCATGCATCACCATCCGTTAATGGTGATAACGAAACGCAGGAAACTATTAAACAAATGATGAAAAATTAGTATTTAAAGAGTAGAATTAACATAATTTAAACATTTAGTTTTTAAAGTATAGTTGAATAATATAGTATATGGTTGAATTTTCAAGTTTAACACATTTACATTTTGGAGCACTTGAATTAGACAAGCAAATTGGAGACAATAATTATAATGGTGTTAGTTATTATACTTGTAAGTGTGGATGTAAAATAGTCTTAACTCGTACTCAAACTAAAAGATATAACTTTTTATTACTTAGTGTTGGTCTTAGCTATGAATATTTATATCTAGACAAAGCGTTAGTATGTGGACATACTCAAAAAGATTTAGATAACATTGTTAGACTTATGGTAGAAGGCGAAGAATTTAAACATTTAAGAAACAGAGACCTTCGAAATTAAAATATTTAGTTTTAAAACTTTAGTTTTATAATATAGTATATATGGAAGATGTGGATAAACTATTTTTGAAAATTGATGAAATAATGGAACAAAATAAGCGCATTTATCAACTGTTAGAAAGTATGAAGAAACCAGCTTACAATAATACTAATAATTACCAACCAAAAGAAGTTGATAGAGAGAGCACTGAATACAAGAATAAACGAAATGTATATATTAAAAAACTTAATGAAAAAGTCATTAAAGAACCTAAACAATCAAGTCTGGATTTCTACCAAGTCAAGTATATTGAAGATACCAAGAAATATGTTTAATCATTAACTAACAAAATTTCGTGTCTCAGAAGTGGTTTGTTTATTCCTGCTACTCTGTAAGTTTTATTACCCATAATATCATATTCAATTTTATCAACATTGAATATTTTATTAGACCATTTAGAGTTATACTCTTTTCTGTCGGTGTAATTGCCCCTTTTCTTTTGAAACACTTTTATCTTATCGTTCTCCTGTATTCTGGGATACTTTCTTTTGTTCTTTTCTCGTAGTTTCAGATTGACTTTTACATTTATTTCATTGTCGTCCTTGTGTGCTTCGGTTGGTGTCATCCTTGTTGACGAGTGTAATGTACTGTTATACTGTTTCAATGCTGGTGTTAAGGCATCGGTCCATTTCATATTATTAAACCTAACTCTATCGTGAATTTTGTTTTTCATCGTCCTAATAAAACGTTCGGCTACATTTGCGTGTGTCTTCGTTATTATGTGTTTGATACCTTCGCTGTTGAAGAAATCCTGAACTTGGTTTTTGGTTGCAAACGCTCCATCATCATCAGAATACACAGACATTGGATAATCCATCTTTTTAAAACTTGCTCTAAGCGCCTTCAAAACGTGCTCTCCGTCTCTTTCCTCCATCGGAATTACATCTGCTAATTTACTGAAGATATCAATCACGACTAAAGCATACTGAGGAACATTCTTGTCTTTAGCTAAAGGTGACATATGCATTATGTCTATTTGATATTCATACCTAGCAAACGGGGCGGTATAGGAATTAGTGCCTCTATAATTTTTGATTTGTTTATTTGGTTGTTTCTTTAAGAAAGACTTTACATCTTCTAATGTTATCGTTGGGTCTTCTTCCTTTGCCTTCTTGTGTGTTGCTTGTGTGCTTCCGAAACCCTCGTCTAAGTCATAATAGAGGTTGCTGATTATTTGGTCTTTCGTTAATCTTGCCATTATATTATTTGTTAGAACATATTTTTATCAACATAACCCCCCACCCCTTAACATTTAAAAAAACTACTTAAAGAGAAAACACCTTATATGTTAAGAGAAAAATGAGTGAGGGTAAAATGTCTGAGAATAATTTGATGGTTGAGAATTGGACTAGCTTACCTGAGGGTTTAGCTTCAAACATCACTACTTACATTAATGGTTGTGAAGGGTGGCGAAGACTGAAACAATGTGATGCTTTAAGAGAATTACAGAGGAAATGGAAACCGTCTATTTACATTGAGCAAGTAGGAGAAAGTAAATATTATGTTAAGATTCACAATAAATGCTTAAAAGGTGATAAAGCACTGTCATATATGTTGAAACCACCAAAAGAATTTTTAAGATTAATGAAGTATGATGATGAAATAAAGATTGGAATAGAAGTTAGTTCAAAAATTATGTATAATAATAATATTTGCAACTGTTGTTCTTATGCATCAAGCAAACAGAATAAGATAACAAGTAGAGCGTCATTACAATTTTATATTGAAAAAATGGTTGAAGAAGTACAACAGACTATGAAACGACACGAAATCATTACTATAGAACATATTACAATTGAAATGAAACCTGAACCCCCCCAGCTAAAACCTACTTAAAGAAAAAATAATATAATATAATAAGAGACAATGAGTGAGAAATGGACTAACTTACCTGTTGATATATTTAAAAATATAATTTCATATAAATTAGGGGAACCTGAGTATTTGAATATAAAACATAATCATATTGAGACATTAAAGAGAATACAACAGCGATATAAATTTAAAAGAACTGAAACGAAAAGAAAGACAAAGCGCTATACTGTTGAAGATGGCGATGATTTCAAGAGACACATAATTAAGTATTACATTTCAAGAAATATAACTTTTAAGCATTGAAAGCATCGAAGATATAGTTTTTAATGAAAATGAAAACTTAGATTGTTTGTTAGATGACATTGAAACCGATAACGGTTATGAAGCAGTGATAATAGTTGAGGTATGTTTATTTGTGAGGGGTCATCAAGACGAAGATTCTAGAACTTTTACGTTCTTTTCTCATAGTGATGATGTTGTAGATAATGTAACCATAGATAATTTATCTGAAGTAATGATGGCGTCGTATCAAGAAATAAACAGTTGTATTGATGAAGAAAGAAGTAGAACGGAGTTTGGAGGAGTCAAAAGCATAAAGTTTAAGCTAATTGTTGATGAACCTATATAATTCAAAACTAAACCATAATTATACCATTTATATTCTTATATGTTATAATTATAGTGAACTTTTAATCTATGAATACCCCTGAATTAATTTTGACTTAGAAACACTTTTAAAGACTTAGGAACACTATATATTATTGATATGGAAAAGCCTGAAGCGAAGCAATGCTCAAGATGTCTAAAAACAAAAGAACAAATACATTTTGACAAAGATAGAACACAATGCAATGAGTGTATTAGACAAAGGTACACATATTATTACAACAATAAAGCCAAACACGCTGAATGGGATAAAAAACACTATGAAAAGAATAAAGAACACAAGCAAAAATACAGTAAAGAATACAACCAAAGGAAAATTGAATGTCAATATTGTAGGTGTATGGTCTCACTTAGTCAGAAAGCAAAACACGAAAGAACAAACAAACACATCAACAATGTTAAGAATCCAAAACCACTAAAGACTGAAGAAGCGACAAAACAATACAAACAGCAAACAACACAGGAAGAGATAAGAGATTACATTGAAACCTCATCAGATTTTGAATACGACATAAACAAAGAATAGGAAAACCAGAAGACCCGCCAACACCCCAATCAATGAAACTACTAAAAGTTCTAACCTCTTTCAAAATGAAAAAAAACAACGCCCTTGAAACACAAAATGAAACAAGGCTTGAAAAATGGGTAGTGAAAACGAATAAGATTGTCAAAATGTTGAAAAACAATACTCAAAGAAACACCCCAGCATTTGACATTTTCCCCCGAGGATCTGCCCTTTCTACAATTTTTTGGGGTGGGCGATGTTTCAAGCAAATGCGGAGGATGTTCCGTTGTGTGAATGACCACCAATAAATATATTTCCTCCAAAATAATTATGTGGTTTCAATGTGTGACAACAATTGATGGCAGTGGTCTGTGTATGAGTCGTCTAGAATACCACAAGTTGATCAATGTGATGGATCACTGGCATTGTAGGAGGTTCCTTCCGAGAATCACGACGCTTCTCATGATGAGTTGCCACAATCGGACGGTCTCTGTTTCGTTTTGGGCCCATCAAGTCCTTAGCGTCGATTCTCAGGGGGCGCCCAGCAACTATCTCGATACTTGGATCCACCCACGTGTGGTTTTGAGTGTTTACAAGAAACAACTGGACGTGCCCAGTCCGTGAGAATCTGCAAGAGGGCTTATCTAGACTGGAGCCTGTTCCTTTTGCTGAAAGATTGTATGCGCGAGCGTGTTTGTGTGTGCGTGTGTTTGCAATTCCAGCGACATGAATGCCGGAGAAGAATGCCACAGGAAGACTGCCAGCGATCACAAGACCTTACCAAATATCAGCACAGCGCGCTGTCAATCATCAAATACAAAGTACTTCCTTGCAACCAAACTCCAAGCAGAACAGAGCCAATACATGCTCACTATGCTTTTTGAAGAGGCGATGTGCTTTTCACCCCCCCCCACCTCCCCACCTCCCCCTGCCCCTGCCCCGCACCCCCCCCTGCCCGTGGGCAGTGCCTGGTGCATTCGATTTGCAGGCCCACCCGAGACGCGGCCAGAGGCCAAGTCGGACTTCGATCCCGGGCCTTGTGGCTGGGGCTCGCTTCGATGTCCGAAATGAGGAGCTCCTCCGTGGATGGGGCCCTGCCGTGCTTTTTTTTGGAAGGGGTCCGAGTCCTTGAGACTTAAGCCACCAAAAAAGGAGGGACATCCACTGGGCATCTCAGTAATCCTCCAAACACCCTTCCCCCCCCCCCCCCCGGAAAAGGGCTGAGAAGAGCCCGAGATTTCGACTTCTTGAATGAAGTGTTTGCCTATTTTATAGCGAGCTCACCGGTTCGGGGGGCGGGGGGGAATAGCAAGCTCGTGATAAAGGTCCTTTACTTGGGGATCCCTAGCTTTTGGAACCTAGCTATTGGAACGAAAGTAAGATTCGTGCCTGGACCCTCAAACTACCCATTAAAAAGGGGAGTGAACCCCACTTTGGGGCAATACACCATTTTTCAGTTGGAACTTCTCCCTTTTTTCCGAGGTCGCCGCTGGCGCAGGCTTGCTAGGCGAGGGGCTGAGAGTCGAGCGCGCAGTGTGTGAGTTACGCCAAGCCTGGGCCCAGCACTCCAAGTTGAAACCACAAAACAACATGGGGGGCTGAATGACTAGGTCCCCCAGGTGCCCTTCTCTCGTGTATTTTTCGGTTGGGAGGGTTCCCTTAGCAAAATAGACTACAGGAAAAAAAGGGGTACCCTTATTCTAACCTCTATACTGGAGGACCTAGATGAATACAAGCATTTTTTCTATGCAGGTCACTTCGTTTGGTTTTGAAGTCCCCCGCAAACCCATTCTACTTTGTCAAGCCCTTACAGCAGACGTCCTGTCTGGCTGTTCTTGGGCGTTCCTTGTGTATGGTTCCAGGCCCCAGGCTGAGTCAAGAGATATCTGGCCATGTGGAACATAGGGTTCTAGGGTCATTTTCTGTCCCAAAGTGACGAAGTCTCGTCCCAAAAAGGAATCACCTATGGCGGTATCAGAGAAAGGGTGGTATTCCACAACCATGTCTGGCATGTCTAAATACGGCACATTCCCCTTCCCTCCCAGTTGCAATCCTTTGCAATGTTGTGAGTCGGCGCTGGGCACGCTTCAGTCTGAGACGAGTCTCAGCTGAAACACCTGATCACGCCGACAATTCAAGCCATGTGTACTGCTTCCTGACTTGGTTGGGAGATCATTTTGGCGGCAAGCAAACAGAGGTTGTTTTCTTGGGCGAACTTGCTGAGGAAGTGAGATCGGGTGTATGTTATGTAGCCTTTTGCTACCGTCCAAAACGTCGCTTGTGCGGCTGCTGGGCCAATTTGTGGGCCATGGGTGACATGAGGCCAGGATTTGCAGGATCCACAAAAGTGGGGTGGACATGAATCCCTACGGAATGTCAATGTGGAAGGGTTCGGAATACCATTGACCCCATATTATTCAACGCCAGTTTATTAATAGCGGGGTGTCCCACTGGGTTTAGTGGTTGGAATCAGACCACTTTTGGAGGGGAATACCCCCTACTACCTACTACTAAATTGGTTGGTTGATTAATTCGGGGTCCCCAATAAAGTCATCACTCCATGAAGCTACAGACCTGAGCCACAGTCAATCCCGGTTAAATGAAGGTGAGTAAGGGACAGTCCCCGCCAGCAACAGCTGCGGGCCGCCTTTGTGCTTCCTTACATGGTTCTGGGTTAATCATTTTAATGCCGGGTTTTGATTTTGACTAGCCAGGATTTTCCTCCAGAGTCCCCTTCCCTCATGAAATTGAGGCCTGGTGGCTTGCAAGGCGCCAGCTCAGAGGCGACGGGGACCGAAGATTGATTCAAGGTGACCCGGCAACATTGAAACCCATATGGCTGTCAGTCAAATCCAATGGTACCATTTTGGGGTAGGTGAATTCACCACCCATTTAGAACCTATCTTAGTGGTTGGATTGGGATGTTCACTCGGGGCTAAGCGGATGGCCATATGTGGCTAGACCAAGCTCTTTTGGGTTCCAACGCCACTTGACTTGAAGGCTCCATTTTTGAGACACACCCACATTTGGCCGCCTCAGTCCCACATGGGACTTTTTTCCTTGCTCGCCCACTTGCAGCTCCAGACCGTGTGATGGATACTGCATTTTTTCATAAGAGTTGGTTCCACTCGTTTGTTTGTTTGCTTGTGTGCTTGTGTGCTTGCGTGCGTGCTTGTTTGTTCGCCACCACGATTGGGGTATCCGATGATTCCTAGGTCCCCCAGTAGTGCCATTTTGCCCTTTTTTGGGGGAGGGTTCCCCTACTAAAATAGACTACAACAAAAAGGGTACCCTTATTCTAACCTCTCTACTGGAGGACCTAGTTGTTTTCAAACTTACACCAGCAAATCCAACCAGCTAGAATAACCGCCCATTTGGCTATGTTCAAGCGCCTGACTCAGCGCAGGCCGCCGGCCGATCCGCCAGAGACCTGCGAAGGCGCCGCTGACGGTTGATGAAACTTGCGCAAGCAAGGCAAGAAGCAACTGCTGATGGTTTGTCTAGGTCCCCCAGTAGTGCCCGTGTACCACCTTTTTTGGGGGGAGATTCGGTTCCCCTACTAAAATAGGCTACAGAAAAAGTTGGTACCCTTATTCCAACCTCTCAACTGGAGGACCTAGTTGTTTTGGGTGTGTTAAACAACAAACCAGACGCAACAAATAAACAACAACGCAGTCCCGAAGAATGCAGCTTGCACTTGGCGAGCAATGACTGTGTTGCGGTCTGTTGGTTGCCTTGGGGCATAGGCGCGGGGAATCTATTGCTTGCAGAACTGGCCTATGCCGCTTTGGTATCTCTGCAACACTGAAGAGACAGCTTGCTTCACGTCCTGGTTGCATGCATTGCATGCATGTCAATCAACTGTCAAGTGGGCCCATTTGCAGAAGGCAATGTACGGTGCTGCGTTGCCCCTCATGGCATTGACTTAACCCATGTTGGAGAATAAGGCTTAGAGAGAAGGGTGCCATGCGCTCAGCAGGATTTTGGCCTCTCTTGCCGATTCTTATCTCCTGGCAACTTGTGTTCTTGACAGCTGTCCACTATTCAGTGTAAGCCTCGCATCAGCCCTGAGTAGAGGTCCCCGCCGGTCCTGCATAGGACCCGCGCCTGTCAAGACCAAGGCCCTTTCCAGTAAAGCTGATTTTGATGTTCTGCGCATGTGCGGGCTTGCATACGCAGCGTGACCAAAGCTAGCAGTGCGCCGAACAGATTGGGCATCCACGTGGCCGACTACAAAATCACCCGCTCAAATGGACACCTCCACACCTCCCCCCGAGTAGCCTTGGTGTTCAAAGGCTTCATCCGTACCGGCCTTTCAAGAAGCCAAGCACTGCTCAACTTGGGATTGGCACCCCATCTCCAAGTTCTTTCCAGGTGCCGGACCTCACTTCCTGAGTTCATGCACTTTCTCATTGTTTCTTAACGGAAGACCGTTTTAGTGGTAGCTTTTGTTGGTCAGGAAGCGAGAAACACGGCCCTTTTTCTCGCCTCTGGCGCTTCCCCCGCCAGGCGACGTCCCGGCGCCCGCGCGGACGACGGGCGCTTCGACGGCCGCGCGCTGGGCCGCCGCCTGGCGGGGCGGCGGCACGGCGCCGGATGTGGCGGAGAGCGGATGCCAGATGTGCGCGCTCGGAAGCCCAGAGCTCGCGGACGACTGCCAGACGTAGCGTGTTTTTTGTTTTTTTTAATTAAGTAATGTGTTTTGGGGACTTCCCTTTCAAGATGGCTGCTGGTTGTTTTTGCTGCTCTCAGGCTTTCAGTCGGTTTCCCTTTTCAACCTGCTGGTGGAGCTTTTTGCAGGAGTCGAAGTGCGGTGAAGATGAAAGGGGTTGTAAAACCCTTCCAACTTTTAAGGATTATGAAGTTTATCCCAATGAAAAAAGCAAACTGAGGGTAAGTGGACCTGTTTGTAAGGGACAGCAGGAAAACCGCCTATTGGACGGGTTTTGACTTGGAAGTCTATCCTCTCTCTGAGGGTTGCTAGTTTTTGGTGCAAAGGGAGACCAAAAGGAATCACCCATTTGAGGGTTTTGCTATTGGCAGAGAGCTTTAGGCGAAAAGTGGGCCCGGGTCAGACTCCAGTGCAGGCTTCCACAGTGACCTCGCATTGAGCAATAAGGGTGGAGAAGCAGCCAGTTAGCTGCATCTAGAAACATTTGGGGGTGTCTCAATCTGGAGGAAGCCACAATTCGCTTTGACTTGCCTCTGCAAGCCTTCAAGAGATAGCGACGAAAGGACACACCTGTATGGGCCAGATGACAAGTGGCAATAAAGGAGTCCCGAAAACAGCCCATCGGAAAATTGGGCATGGTCAGGGATTGGACATTGGTGGGGCTGTAGGTTAGTTGAGGTTCTTGTTAGGCATAGTGCCGCCACACACACAAAACAACATGATCATTGCAAGCTGCACGTCGAGCGGATATGCGGTGGATGCTCTGAATATTGCTAGGGGCACCCTACTTCTTACCGGAATTCGCCTAGAGGGAATCCACCACACTCCGCTCGGGCCACCTGTCTGGCGCCACAGACATGGAGACTTAGACCTCTGGCTAGTGCCAGGCAGCACCACCGTTTGCCAGTTGCTGAGACCATTCCTGCGTTGATGTTGATTTGATTGCTTGTACGATGTCAACCTCGTTTTGTGATATGAGTTGCTTAGACAGTTCCTTTGTCGTTGATGTTGCTTTTATGTCAGCTTCAGTCATGCCATGCAAGTTTATCGGACACGTGGCAAAGAGTGTCAAACAGTCGAGACGACCGGCCGATGTGGTACAAACTGTCATGTTGCACCGTACATCGGCACGGCACTTTGCCATCCTTGCGCACGTACAAAGCCAGCAAGTCATCTGCGCAACATATGGCAATGAGGCAGTGCAATAATGTGCTTACTAAGGTTGTGCCAATCAAAGTGTGTGATCGGGCTTCTGAGCATCCTGCATTGTGTGTATTGCGGGGCTTGTCATGAGTGTTTTGGGAAGTCTCTGGCAGTGCCTTGACAGGCTTGCTGCTTGGTGTGAGGCGGGCCCGAATCATCTTGTGGCCTGCGATTTTGGCGAGTGTTGCAATAGCTGCACGGAGCAAATGAATACCTCAGGTTTTGATCTTCGGCTTTCCAGTGGCGAATGATTCGCCAGGAGCATATCGTGATATTCGGTGATAGGAATAGCCCATAGATCAGGTGACATGCGGAAACTGTTGCCCTCCCATTTCCCTGGCTTGGACGTCTCCGCCGCTTGGATGCCGGCGTCCATGTAGGCAGTTATGGCTTGGACCGCAGGTTTGAAACGTATTCGCGCCAGGGGTTCCCCATTCTTGCCAGCACAACTTTGGTGTGTGCGCCTTATGTCAGTTTGTCAGACTGAACCGACAACACCAACGACCGTCCGCTGTGTTTACTTCTTCTCTGTTATTTGCCACTGACAATGGTCCTTGTTGACATCTTGATGTGTCAAACTATGTTTTTTGTTTTGTTTTGTTTTTTTGTGAACATACCAACACATGTATGCGTGTGTAATGCACAATTACTGTACTTTTATGCGTGTATAACTGCGATCCTGTGTAACCACATATGAAAGATTATTATTTGTCATATGTCAACATCTATTTTGCTTGATTTATATGCATATACCTGTACCTCTCTCTATATATATATATGTATATAATGCATATATATATATATGCCACAAGCACAACATGACTGGCCTCAAAGCGTCCGGAGACTTGCGAGCCAGGCTCTGAGCCGAAACCGGAGCGGTGCCCTAGCCGGGTGCCCTAGTGAGGTCCGGTGGGGTTGGCTCGGAACTTTGGGTGGGGTTCCCTTGAAGCAATCCACGTGTCCTACTTTTTGGGGCTTGGCTGCTTTCTTTATGTTTGGAACTTTGGGTCACACGTCCCTTAATTGGTGGTTTGGATTGGTGGTTTGGGGATTTGAAGTCCTGGTTCTTGCAGAGGCTTGCTGGGAAACCTCCCCTTAGCCACGGAAGCTGATTGGGTCGGTTAGAATCAATCGCCACACGTGTCCTTGTCTCCTGACAATGACTACATGTGTCAAAGATCGCTTTGTTTGGATCCTGCCCTGGCACCAGGGACTGGTCCCAAGGGCCACGGTTTGGCACGGTCCAAAGGGCCACCTGAAATGGAGAGCCTGGCGATTTGGCCGAGGTGTGGTCCAGTCCGTAACAAGACGAGGCAAGTGCTTCTTCTCGTGAAGCTGGGCAAGGAAGTCATGAGAGGATCGCGGCAGATTGCACATTGCAACACCATGTCTACGTGATTGGATTCGAGTAGCTGAATATCTCATTTATGGTTTCAGACATTGTGTATTCCTGACTTTGATGTCAAATGGAAGCGCGGGCAACTTGAGTCCAATTCCATTTGCGCTGTGCGCCGAGGTGGCTCACGTCGTGCAGGAGAGGTGGACAGCGGCAGCCTTAGGGACTAGGGACAGCCAGTGGAAGCAACGGAAGCAGCGGTTGCTGCTTTCTTTGCTTGTTTCAAGGGAATGCTTCCGGGCTCATTCAAAAGCATATTGGGGGATTTGTTTTACGTTCACCAGTAGTTGACGGGCACGACACTGCCCCACTTGTGGCTTCTTCTTTTTTTCTGTCAAAAGGCTCTGTGGGCATGTGCATGGGCGTTGGTGGCGGCGTCACGTAGAGCTTAACAAGAGCCGTGCAACCCCCCAAACGAGGGGTGCCTGAATCATGCTTGAGTCCGATCCGCAACTTTGCAGCACACTCAGGTGATTTTGGGTGCGTGTGTGTGTGTGTGTCAAAGGATAGGGATCGTGAGGCTTTTTTGTTCCATTCTGATAAGACCAAGTAGATGAGGACATGAGTTTTGACACGCCAGAGCTCCGGATCCCTGAGATCGCCAACTCGCTGCCCCTACCACACTGACCAACGACCAATGTGAGACCGACTTCAAGGAGCTATCCGCAAGCTGACGACAGTTTGATGCGAAGCTCGCATGTCAATGTCTTTTCGGCGGTCCGCGCCGCTCAATTTGCCATGGGGGCGCTCAGCCCTGAACTCGAAAACATCCGACTTGGGAACGTCTAGAGGATCGCAATTTGGCTCGCATCCGGTGGCTCACATCTAGAACTTGGGCCCACTAATTGAGGATCTTGCCTATAGATGTCCTTGTTCGTTTTTGGGTCCGTGTTGAATCTACATGGAATCTGGTTTGTCCAAAAGCAGCTAGGGCCCAGCTGTCTCCGCTTCAGGGCCAGTTGCTGGCGAATCCAAACACGGCACGGCTGCAAGAGGAGGTACTCTTTGCCGGGGACCTGAGGAATTCGTTGACGGCTTCCCCCACTTTTGTACATCCTGCGGCCTTTCAGGGTCGGATTGCTTGATTCAGAAGTTGTGCTATGGATGTGACCATAGCGTCCTTTCTGGTTTCAGCTTGCTTGAAAACCAATGGGACAAGCTTCCCACAACAAGGAGGACAACCCAAAAACTCCTGTGAGCTTCCTAGTTTGGTTTGGTTTCACCATTGAGGGAACCCTACTCGTGGAAGCGTAGGATAGCTGTTGGGGTTGGCACTTTGGGGTAGTCACAGCCAGAAGCTTCCTTCAGTTGCTCAGCGGCACCCTCTGAATCCTTGTTGCGGTTTGGTGGGTTTCCCACTTTAGATGACAGGGTCGCCTTGGGGTTCATTGAAGTCAAACATTGTGTTCTTTTGGGGGCTGGGTAGGGGGAGGATTCACGAAATTGTTGTGCGTTCGCTTCATACGACCGGCAAGCGAACCTTCTTCCGGGCGGGAATTCTCAAAGCTACCGCTTGGGGTGGTAGTTTTCACTAAGTGAAGTTTCCTGCTGGCGCACCACTCAAGATGCGCAAGATGTATTCCTCGTCCGAGAGCACCTTGAAACGATTATTGCCGTGTGCACTGTGCTGTACTCTTCTTTTCCGCCAATGGCGCTGGGTCGATGCGTTTGCATTCATGCCACGTTTGCATAATTTCCTCACTACTCGAAACACAAGATGTGCTTCCATTGCTGCTGGCACGCCCGTCTCAGTTGCCCAGGCTGAATCACATTTGCTTTTGTCTCTTACCAAAACTTCGCCGGGCCTTCTTCTTTTCGGTCTATTTGGAGCGTCCGAGATTTCCCGACTAGCAACGCATTACCTGCGCGTGTGACACCGTGTGTTTCCTTTTTGTTGTTGGTTTGACAGAACCCATCATTTCAGCTGTCCACCCCTCAATTTTTACACATATTAGAAATATATCATGAGTGCGTGTCAAAATGGGAGGCCCCAACAGAAGCGCCTTTTGCTTTCTCCTTGAAACCTTCCCCCCCTCAAAAACGCGCATAGCCAACCCAAACCAGACACGCAGCCAACATGCCTCCTGCACATCTCAGGCTCTGCGCAGGAGGCACGACTTTTGGACGGCCTTCCTGGATCTCTGTGGGGCTCAACACGATTCGCGCCTTGGGCGAAGGGAAAATTGAACGGTTCGTGCGAGTGCTGGGTGAAAAATCGGATTCCCCCACTCCCCCAGGTTCGCGGGAATCATTCCCGGAATGATTTATTCGAAAGGGGAACTGTTCCATCTATTTTTCTCCGGTGTACTCTTAAGGTCGCACTTCTCCGATGAGAGGAGTTCTTCTTGCAGAAGGGAGAAATCGGGGGTAGATCTGGTGCAAATTGACCTGAGAAGTCGGAGGACAGACGCACCGGGCTCCGTGCAGGTTTGCGTGGCTGCAAAAGCAAAGGCAACCATGGACTGAGTTTGAAGATTCTGCAACAGGATTTCGAACGTGGGGCATAGATGCAGCCACATGCCATGTTTGTTGCTTTCGGAAGGCCAGTCATATTGACCTCTGATTTGTCAGCCTCCTAGCTCCTTTTAGGAGGGGTTGCTTCTTATCCCAGGCTTTGCTTTCTCGACTTTGGAAATCGATCTGCATGACTTAGTTGCAGCCGGTGCCAAGCAGTCGAGGACTGCGGCTGGTAAGTTCTTCTGTGCTGCTTCCCATTTTTCTCTGTGAAAGATGGTGTAAAGTTCACAAGCAACTGCGGCCCCTGCGGCTTTATGTTGCTTTTTCCGGCTTTCAGTGGACAAGTCCAGGTATGGTTTTCCATTTTCCCCTTTTCCCCGTGGGAAAAGACTAGATCACCGCGCCCGCGGATCACAGACGCCAGTTCAGTTGCACACGCCAGAAGCCACTTCTTGGTTCGACTAAATGACAAATGGGTGCCGCTGCGTTTTCAACAAGCCACTAGAATCCCCACCGCAAAGAAGGGCTCCCTGTTACTTTCCCCACCTCTCGGCTCACTGGCCGTGACAGGGTTTTGTGGTTTCAGCCTGAAACACATGGGATCAAAGCGGCTTCGGTGTTGTTTCCTTGTTCCATCCGTGGAATCCTATTGGTTCGTTGATCTACCGGGCTACGCCACAAATGTCTCTAAACTCTATAGTGTGTATGGACAAAGTCCTGCAACGCCTAAGGAACCCTCGAATGATGATCTCCCTGTAAATACCAACAAACGTTATGGTTTCAACCATGGCAACTCATTTCGCGGTGCCAAGGGGGTATTTCGCGTCCATCCACAGCATGTGCATTGGATTATATTAATACATGTTTATATATATATATATATATATATGCTTAAGAGCATGCAAAGCACATATAAGTTGCAATGTGTTTGTTTATGACACCAACTTGTTCAGAACTCGGCGCCGCTAGAAATACCCCCCCGCGGAGCCGTTCGACGAGTCGAGGCTGGCGGTGTGGCCCAATCCGCGCGGCGCGGTGCTGCGGGAGCTGCACTTCGAAGCCCTGGGCTACGCCAAGTCCACGGCGGCGGTGCTGGTCAAGGCCCAAGCGCGCCCGGGACCCCGGGAACACGGGCGCGCGGTGGAGCTGGGAGGAGGGCTGCCTTGGAAAAGCAACAAAAAGGTGTATAGCTTAATTTGATGCCCAAAAGGGTTGCTTTTGGTGGAGACACCAAAAATGAGCAAATCATGAACACTGGGCTTGTTCAATGATGTTAAGTTCCCAGATGAGGGTTTGCGTGTGTGGTGTGTGTGTGTGTGTGTGTGTGTGTGTGTGTGTGAGGGTGGGTGTGTTTGTTCTATGGTTGGTGCTTAAGGGAAACCGACAAGAATTGATGCATTTAGACATGAAGTGATGTTTGAGGCCAAAGACGCCACCATCGAAACGCCTATAGTTGAAGTATGCGGAAACCATTGTGTGTTGGTATTTACCAGATAATCATCAGAAACAATGGTTTCTTAGGTGGTGCGAGAAGCGGATGTCGTCCATCCGTACTACACCTGTTTCGTTTCGTAGAGCACGGTGCTGGTCGGAGCTCGGCCATGGCCGAGTGAGCGAGGCTGGCGCGGGGTCAAAGCGCGCCGGAGCTTCCGGCAGCTGCGGCTCGAGCAGATCTGCCAGGCGCGGGGCGCAGCTGCCACCAAGCCATGTACAAGCCCTTGCTGGCTCCCAGCCATCCAGTTCTTTAGCTTTTTAGATCCTTTTAGTGTTTAGTGGTAGTTTCCGAATTTAACCCACTAAAAGTGTTTAACTTTTAGAGCGAGATCTGAGGGCAGCCCAGAAGCTACAAGCCATGTCGTGTTTCATTCCAGGTATGTGGAAGGGCCTTGTACAGCCCCTGTATACTCCAATGTGTAGCCCATTAGCCTATCATGTTTCGCGAAGTCTTTTTGCATGTGCGCCAAACCACTGGTTTTGTGCTCTGCCCATTCAACGACCTCGGGCCTTGCCAAAAGTCCCAGCTGTGCCTCGCAGACCTTGCCACAGAGCCAGCTGGGTCAGCTCACCAAAGTGCAGGCGGGCCGGCGGTGCGGGGCTGCGGGTCGCGGTTTTGTTCCAAACAGTGTTAAACATCACCTGTTGGCCCATTCAAGGTCGTTGTTTTAGGGGAGGTTATAGTAGTGCACCTTTACCTTTTTTTGGGAGGGTTCCCCTACTAAAATAGACGACAGAAAGAAAGGGTGCCCTTATTCTAACCTCTCTACTGGAGGACCTAGGGGAGCCCTGTCCGCAACGCGTATATACTGCCCTTGCGTGAACCTCTATAGTGACGTTTGCATGATGGAACACCAGTAACTCGCAGCTTTTGAAGGGGCAGTCGACCCGAAGAACGCCAGCACGCTCCGAACGGTGGGCACGCGACGGAGGGCGGCTCTGCGAGTGGTTCGCCGGTTGGTTGTTAAGATCCATGCGTTTAGGGGTGTCCAGCTTTGGGTTTGTGGTCTTGGTTGCTTGGAAAAACTTTCTGTAGTTTGCAACGTGATGTATTTATCAACCATGTAAAACCCCAATGCATGAATGTCTCACTTGTGCAGTCTCATCATTACGACTGCATATGGCTCAAGGAAAAAGCGCGCTGTGTACAGGGTTCATTTGTGACCCTTCCCGGTTGTTTAACCTGTTCTATAGGTTATCAGCCGTAAGCGGCTCTTTGTACAGAGTTGTACGCCATGGATGGCGACCCTGGACTACCCCATACCGAGGTGCGTCCCACACCTGATGAGCCCGCAGGCGATGAAGACGCCTCGCAATATGAACCGACTAGTCGAGCAAACTCCCAAGTGGCCAGGGAGCTCATCAGGAAGGGACAAGCACTGAGCAGTCAGGGCCCCGAATCACTTCGATCCCGGAGTGACCGTGGGAGGACTGGGCGGTCTGGTGCTCGATCTCCTTCACCTGTTGGATCAGATCGGCATCGGCATGGTGACATCGTCATGTACGACCCCCAGACCGATCTCGCAAGGGGAAACCCTATGCCACAGTCCATGAATCAGTTCAACCAACATGTTGCAAACGTCCACCTCGATCCTTCAATGACGATCAACCAGGACGTGACGAACTATCAGCAGATCAACGCTACCCAGAACAATGCCCAATTCAACCAGTTCGTGAATCAGGACACCGGTCCCATGGTCGCCCAGGTGGCGGAGGCAAGGCATGGTGAGATCATTGCCGGTCTCCAAAGCCAATCGGAGGCCATGAGACGCGAGATTCAGATGAATGCTGAGCAGCGTGTGAGCACCATGAAGTCAGAAAGAGAAGCCGAGATGAAGTACCAAAACGCCATCAATACGATCAGCGAGCAGGAGAGACAGATCAGAGAGCTAAGGGCTATGGTCGAGCAGATGATGCAGAACCAACAGCAACCGCCTGCTCAACCTGCTCCTGCCCCTGCGCCTCCTGTTCAGCAGGCACCAGCTACCCCCTTGGCTATCCCGACAGTTCCTTTGGCTGCATCTCCACCCGGACTTTCGAATGCTTCCTCGCACAGTTGGACGAAGGTCGGGAGCGACCCCTACGGCAAAGACGGATCCGTTCCCGCCGGGGCCGTGGACGATGCTGCTACCGGAGACGGTTGGCCTTGCGATGATGGTGATGGTGGAAATGACAAGGACAAGAAAAAGAAGAAGAAGAAGAAAAAGAAGAAGGACCGTAGCCGACGCCGGCGACGAGATCCGTCATCTTCTCCCTCGTCATCTTCGTCATCAACTTCAACTGCATCGGATGAATCCTTTCGACGAAAGCTACTGAAGCACTTAGGTAATTCGAGCGATCCGACAGCGGAACGCGTTCGTGTAAAGGAGGGTGACAGAATTCAGATTCCCCGATTCCCGAAGCCCGAACAGTACCGTAATTGGAGGATCAAAGTTAGGGATGCTGTTGTTGCTACTTCCGACCAACCCGAAAAGGCATTTGAGTGGATTGAGGCAACTTGGATCCCAGGTCAAACTGTTGAAGTCCTTCGTGATTCAGGAATGTTTGTCCATCTTGATGCAAAGCTGGCATCGGCGTTGACGAATATCTTGGAGGGCGACCTCGCGCGGCAAGTCGACATTTTCAAAGAACAAGAAGCAAAGGAGAAACGCTATGCGAGGGGGCGCCAAATTCTTTTGATGGTTCACAAGCACTTCAGCACGAACATCAAACATGGTGCAATTTACGACTTTGAGGACTTGCTCTCTGTCCAGCTCATCAACGAGGACCTCAAGAACTTCATGACAAGATGGGACACGGTCATCGCTGGAATGGGCAATGAGCAAAATGAGAAGACCCTTGAAGCGCTGTTCCACCGCCAGATTCGAAAGTTTCGGCCTCTCAGTCATGATCTCAATGAGTATGAGCGGGCTGAGGAAGGGACGGAAAAGCACTCCTATAAATTCTTGATTGACGCATCGAGGAATTATTTGGAGCGCAAGAGGCTTGTTCACATGCGGGATGCTATGTCAAGCAACACAACGGGACGTGGCAGGACTCCATCGAACAACCCTGCAGTTCCTGGAATCCCCAAGGGTGTATGTGTGAAATTTCAAACTGGCCAGTGCACCTATGGTTCAGACTGCCGATTCGAACATGTTAAGGCACCGAAAGGTAAGGGGAAAGGCAAGAAGGGCGGATCCAGACCCCAGACGCCAAGGAAGTATCGTTCGCAGAGTCCCCCTGGTTCGAAGCCCCAGGTGTGCAAGTTCTTCAAAGCGAACAGATGTGAGAGAGGGAAAGATTGCCCATGGCAGCACCCCGCAACTTCCAAGGCAGCTCCAGCCCCAAAGGCCGAGAAGACCGCTAGTGGAGACACCCCCAAGACATCGCCGAGAGAGAAAAAGAAGAAGAAGAAGGGTAGCAGGCCTTCTTCTCAAGATTCGAAAGACTCGAAGGGTTCTCAGTCCCTCAAGTCTCCGCGATCGTCAAAAGGCAGCAATGCTGCGGTGTGCCTCCTCCAGGCGATGGTGTGCGCCGCGACCCTCGACTCGGTCGCCTCGCATCCTTGCTTGCCTAGTGTGACTCACGATGTTTTCCAGAGTATGCCATGTATCAAGAAGTGCGTGCAATTTTCTGATTACCCATCCATTTCGAACTATGAGACTGACGGCGAGCTTTGGCCATACACTGCCTCGTCGAGAAGGTTTGCACACGAGTTTCCTGTTGATTATGTTCCGAAGTTCGATGAGAGAGCTGTCTCTGACGCAACTCTTATCGGCACCATGCATGAAGCTATGATGAAGGACTTGCTCAAAGGCACGAAGACTCCTTGCAAATTTCAATGCGACTCTGATTTCGGCTGTGATTCCTGCATCCCCGCAGGCCTAACGGCCGAGCCAGAGAAGCCCGTGACCTCTCCCAAAAAGGGGAAAGCTGCTGTTGCTCGTATGACGATGGATTCTTCTCACATTCCGTGGATCGCAGATACAGGAGCTTCTCAGGATTTGCTATCGGGAACCGATGCGGAGATGGGGTGTATTTACGAATCGTCTCAACCTCTGAAATTTTCCACAGCCAATGGGAATATTATCGGCACCAAGCAGGCCAGGGTCAAGATCCAACAGACCGATAGTGTTGTTCGGCCATATGTTCTTGACAAGGCTCCATCCGTGTTATCCGTGGGTATGAGATGCCTCAGGGACGGATATGATTTCGTTTGGAGAGCCCACAGCAGACCTTATTTCCGACTTCCGGATGGTTCACGTATCAAGCTCGAGGTCAAAGACAATGTTCCATTCATTCCCCCAGCAACTCAAAATGCTGTTCCAGCTTTGTCACAGAGCATTCCAAAGGTTACATCATTACCATCAGCTCCCATTGAAATTGAGGATGAAGTTCTGGTCATTGACGAGGAACCGGAAGCTGTTGAAGAGGTGCTTGTGACCAATGAGGATGATGGGGATGAATTGGGGAACGATGATTTCTTGCTTGAGGACACCATTAGCCAACCGGAAGGTGAGGTCATTGAAGAGTGCCATGACAATCCCTCCGAAGATGCGCCTAAGGTCATCGCTTCCGATTTTGTGTCAAAGCCTATTTTGAAGGACGCCCCTCGCGAACGCGGTGAAGCAGCTTTGCGTGATGAGGCGACCTCACTCCAGCACTTGATGTGTCACACTCCCAAGAACCCCTTTTGCGAGACTTGTAACAGGGCGAAGATGTACAAATATCCATCAAGACAGAAGGGAGGTTCCACTCAAGTCGAGGCCAAGAAGTTTGGTGATCACCTTACGGCGGACCATCTTATCACATCAGATGATCGTGAAATCGGCATTGATCAATCTAGAGTTGCACTTGTGGTTCGAGATGTTGCCACTGATTTCCGTTATGTTTACCCAGCAGCACGGAAAACCTCTCATCAGTGTGTGATGGCATTCAAGCACTTTGTCCGCACCGGGGAAACCGTGAACGTATTTTACAGTGATCGGGCTCCTGAACTTGTGAAAGCGGCGGATCAATTGGAATGGAAGCATGTTCAAAGTACAAACTACATTTCCAAAACTAATGCTATTGCTGAGAGGAACGTCAGGGCGATTATCGAGGGCACGAGGACCAACCTGGAACAAGCTGGTTTGCATCATTCGTATTGGCCACATGCGGCCAAACACTATTGCATGGCGCATAACATCACGGACCACCCAGATTATCATTCACCATGGAAGGTACGTTTTGGAGAAGATTTTCCCGGACCATATTTGCCCTTTGGTTGTCAAGTCAACTTTTGGACCGGCCCGAGGAATCGACCCAACAAGCCTTTGAAGTTTGAACCTACTTCCAGGGCTGGAATATTTCTGGGGTATCCCATCCATCCTGACTTTCTTTGGCGTCACGAATTTCTCGTTATTCCTTTGCGAGATTTGATGGAGAAGGACTATGATCAACCTATTGCTCCTTTGAGGGTAAATCAGATCAAATGTCCGGATGGTGAATTCTCTTTTCCAATGGTCGAACGGCACTTATTGCACATGAATGGCGTAATGCCGGGGCTTGAATATGCTCCTGAAACGCCCGATCCAGCTGCATTGGATGCGCCGCTCTTG